GCGGATTAATAGGACAGATCGGGGAGAGAACGTTTCGACAGCGCGTGCTTTATTTCCCAATCGCGTGGCGAACAGATTGCGACCGGTTACCACGGTTGCTTACTTTTTTCTGTGTTTTTTCGCGAGTATCCGTAATAAACGGCAATATTTTCAGTCTATACCTCAATTCGCCGTATTGTCGTACAGTTTATGGTAGACTATGGCGTTCTCCGATGCCGCGACTCGAAATCATTTCTATGCTAATGGATGCTGCGTTCCATCGATCATCGTTAAACGCAACGTCACCATGTCCCGTACTAGGCTATTTGCGCTTGAGATCCTTATGATGCTGAAGCACGTTATTACAACATTATGATAATATAATCATAATATATTAATATAATTTTCTACATGAAAAACCGATTATCTTCGTATGTTATACAACAATAAAATGTTTATACAGGGAATAAGTTAAAGTTGAGTATTAGAGTTTAAAATATGTTCTCTCATTGAAGAAAATAATTAAAGATAAAATTACGAGAAAAATGTGATCAGTTATGAATTAATGCCACTAATGCAATAATCGAAACAAATATGAATGAAAAAGAATAGAATTATTTTTATTTAATATCTATTACATTATACATGTAATAAACATTTTTTATTGATAATAATTAATATGTATATAATTATTTGCTAGCTATATAAATAAATAAATGAAAAAAGAAATAGAGAGATAGCATGAAAAATCTCAGAAGTCGTTTATATAATGCATATATTGTATGTACATAATTGCGTATAAACATCATAATTTACATATCTTAATTTCAAGCAATAACTTCTCAGATAATTCCGAGTTATGTGTTCGTTTGTCGATTTAAATTTATTTCAATTCGTTTGAACAAAACAATAGCGGAATATATGTGGAATATACACAAGAGAGAAATATTTACGGTACCACTTGAGTGACAGAATAGTGCTGCCAAATCGTATTTACGTATTTCGACGAATAGAAGAAGCGAGAAGAGCAGGGGAAAAAAGGAGGCGTAATAAAGAGGCGTATATGATGTGTGTATACGCGCGCGTTCACGAGCAATGTGTGAAAACAATGTGTGAAGCCGTGCATGGATCGAGGATTGTTTCTCGAAAAAGCTAATTTATTTCGACGAGGGAGTCGCGAGGATTGTCGTTGCCGTGTATGCGAATAGAAATGAGTTTTCATTCATCTCTCGGCGCCTTTAATCGCTTCGAACAAAGTTTAAACACATTTACGTCAGGGTGCCAATGTTGCGTTTTAACAAATTGTATATTTTTGAATATTCTTTTTACTTTATAGTTATCGTTATTTCTTTATATAGAGAAAATATGTAGTTTATTGAAATAGCAAAATGGCATATTTTTAAAATTAAATTAAATTATTACGTGATTAGATAGACAAGGTATTAAAAATATGTATATCAAATTTGATTGTAAAGTAGTATTTTATTTATCAATTATCAATCTGAAAAGTATAATTTTGAGAAACATGGTTGTAGTTTGTATTGAAAACAATATAATGCAAAATTTTATAGTTTTGTTTTCTTGTTAGTGATTGATATCTAGTTTATATAGTTGTTGTTTCGTTATTTGATGCATTTTTCTCCTTGATCAGTCTGACTCTTTTTCGTTGAAAACGTTGCTCTGCTGATGTTTCCAGTATTCTAAGTTTTGCAGTGTATATTGTTTGTTCTCTTCCATGTGATGCTTGTGACAAGTATCGTCAATTTTTATTTAAAAAACTTGTATTATTATAAGAGGCAATGATTTCTACCTATAAAAATACATACAGTGATACATATGCAATTGACAGCAATATAATTTTATTTTATGTTATTTTTCGAAATAATTTTGACATTTAAATAATTTTGAATTTATTTCATTATTATTTTGAGAAAACCTTCGTATGTAGGATGGTTTGCTGGTCAATTTTCTTTGAATTGATACACTTATATCAGTTTAATTATTTCTGAATTTCATATAAAGGCCTTTTTTTGTTGGTTTGTTGATTCATCGATAATCTTTTTTAGAATTTATTTTACATTAACGAACAACTTATTTTTTCTCATTATTATATCAAAACGTGCGATTAAAAGATTAATCAGATTAAAAAGCATAGAATGTTTCTACGCACTGAAAACGAAAACCATTGGTTTGTAATCTTTTTCAAACATAATAAAAAATGCATAAACTTAAAATGTATAAATAATAAAATATATAAGATAATAAAGCACGTACACGTACATACATATAAATTTATTCGCAGATTAATTTTGTTTTTCTTTTGTAACTCCGTAAATATTGAAACTTTAGGTCTAAAGTTTTAAGACTGTTTCCAAGATAAGAACTTTTAAACAATACAAAAAGACTTGAATGTTTACTCTGGCTTAAACCCTTGAAGCGCTCGATAGAAGACAATAGTTGTTATAACAATATATATCCCAATCTGCGACAGAGGGTGGCACAATGTCGATCTGGGCGTCCCAAAGTGTCAACTGTACCGTTGAGAGGGGAGGCCATGGGAGAGAGAGCTCACACTCCACAATGGCGTCGGAAGGGTGGCGTTTGTTATAAATGAAAACGAAATTTAATCACACGTGATATACTGCCCCTAGCGCACGGGGTGGATATGACGATGAGCGCACGAATTCGCATCGTGTGAACGAAAATACGGGCACCTGCGACTGTTGATGTGTCTCCGGACGCATACCCCCTGTGCGATTTCATTATTAAAAGTCATTAAGAGCGGGTGGGTGCTCGCAAAATAATATACATATCCGACATGTTACCGCATGTGTTTCTAGATTACGCGATGGGGATGATAGATTTCTCTAAGTTAGTCAAGAGTTGATATTACTGGTAATATATATTTTATAATTATATTTTATTTACTTATTTTATTTACAGTGGTCTTTTTCCTTTAATTTTAATTAAGGTCGTAGATTAAGTTAAGATAGATTATATTAAAGATTTATGTGTAATTTTTAAATTATTATATCAAGAAGAACCAACAAAGTACTGTTATATTATTACTGCATTATTGGTAAAATATATTTTTAATTATGCAATTTGATACAAACTATTTGTTCAGATATTTGTGAAAATTTAATTTATGAATTTATATATCTTATTTTATTTGCATAAAAGATAGGTAAGTAACATGGAATTAGAATATTAAACATCAGAATAACATGTAATTATTACTTTGGTTTATGAGCTTGTAATCACTAGACTGGTTTACACTTAATTTTTGAACAGATATGATTTCATATTTTATTATAGGTCATTTTAGATTTTTTCATGCAGTGGCACTTTCAAATTAATAATTGTAAATTTTTAACAGCGAATTGAATTTTATAATCACCTTGAGAAGTTTATATTGTAATTTAATTTATTTATCTACATTTCCGATAAACAAGTAATAACAAAGAAAGATTACTATTGAATTATTAGTTTTAATGAAATATTTCATTAGCTGTTGCTTAACGAAGACGACATAATTTTATATCTTTCCGATTTGTTCTTTAAGTGGGTAATAATATAACATAAACTATTGTAGTTTTATTCACTTTATTTATTTTACTCACTTTAATATCCTGCCGTATGACAATATAACTTCCCGAGTAAAAAATAAATAAGAATATGGCCAGTGAGTGGTCAGCAACCGGCTATGTCTGGTATATTTTCTACTCGGGTTACTGTAAAATAATTATAATAAAAGAAAGACATAGGCAAACACGTGGAAAACAAACTACACGATGGAATTAATAACTTTAGAAAGGAATCCGCTAATAGAGAAAGAGAGAAAGAGAGAGCAGCAGCTCAGCAACGACACGGCTAACGCCTAGCATTTAGCCGTCGCTTCGGCCAATGGGACGCTCGTCTGACGAATAAATATGTAAATACAATGTCCAGCGCGCCGTAGGCATAAAACGACACGATATATGGCACGGTAATTTCTTAATTGCGCCCCGAAAAATTCTTGTCATCGTAAACAGCCGGTTGATTATATTGAAACGGCTCAAGGCGCCGGGGGCGTCTCGTGGATGAGACAAGCGAATGGAAAAGAAATAAGACAACCACGGGATAAAGAGTAGAGAGACACAACGATATAGTAACTGCCCGATTATTTATGCGATTCTAACGGTAAAGCTTGGCGATCTCGCTTGGTTGAAATCGAAACTAAGCTAATGGCACAGAAAATCTCCCCTCTTTGTCCGCGTAATCTTCGCGACGTAGTAAACGGTCGGTTCCCGTATTAATCATTCTCACGCTCAGTCGAGTTCCGGCGAGATTCGAGAGTGACTCACGCCACGAAGAAGTAGCTAGCTTATGTGGATAATTTATGCGATTTGAAGGTTTGCGGCAGATCTCGAAAACGTTGCTAATACTTTCCAGACACCGAGATGAATCGGTTCGTGGAAAGGTCATTCGAGATTCCGATTCAAATCTGTGAGAGTAACCCGGGCATCTAGATCGTGAACGCGTCACGTTGAAGGGATCCGAAAAATTCTCAGGGTCGGAATCCCGAGAGAACGAAAACGAAAACTATTTTATGCCGCGTTTTTTAGTCTACGCGTCTCGCGTAGATAAAATCTGTGAGGCTAATTAGATTTTGTCGTTCGACATCAACGTTACTGACGTCAATCAGTTTTTCTTGTACACGGAGAAAATTTTATAGTAAATATTACTATGTTGTCGCACCAACTGCGGACCATCAAGACGCACAAGTTTAAATGCTATAGTCTTATAGTAAAATTACTATGTCCATAGCATTTAATGCTACGATTATAGCATTCAATGCTAGTGGTCCGCAGCTAGTGCGACACCATAGTAATATTTACTATAAAATTTTCTCCGTGTATGAAAGTCGTCATGATGTGCCGTGATAAAGCCGAGTTAACGATATCAATAAAGTTTGCTGAGAAAAGAGACAGTAGTTTAAGCGAGAGGTGAAAAAAGTAACAAATAATGACAGTACCCACCAGTGTGCGTTCTCTTGTGTATTTTGAGATTCTCCGACCTGGCGAAGACTTTGCCGCAATTTTGAAATGGACACGAGAACGGTTTCTCCCCGGTGTGCACTCGTATGTGATTCACGAGTTTGTACTTGGCCTTGAAGGCCTTACCGTTACGCGCGCAACCCTGCCAGAAGCACGCGTGCGTTGTGCACTCAGGTCCGCCCACGTGGTCCACTGTCAGGTGCGACACGATGTCTGGAAGGGTAGTGAAAATCTTGCCGCAGAGTTTTCTTCCACTTTCCGGTAACCCCGGGTCTTGGTCTATCCACATGCAGGTGATCTCGCGTCGGCTGCCGCTGACGATGGTGCCTGCGTGGCCGCCGCCGACGCCGTTAGGCCTCATGAATCTGAGAAAGGCGCTGTGATGATTCGGATGATTCATGGCTGGGTGTTGCTGGTGGTGGATTGCGGTCGGCGTCATGTGCGGCGAGCCGATGTATTGATGATGAGAAGGTAGCGGCCTGGTGTCCTGAGGATAGTGCCCAGGATAGTGTGTGGCGGCCAGTGGGTGCTGACTCGGATGATGTGGAAACTGCTGCATCGTCGCGGCCGTACCGTCGTGATGCAGCGGCGTAAACAGGCCCAGTCCACCGCTTTCGGGGGTGGTAGGACTTGCCGTTGCTATCTCGTGTTCCCGTCGAATGATAAATTCGCGGGTATAACCAGGATGGTGACCCATGTGATGGCCCATGTGAGGAGCCATGTGGGGAGCTGTGTGAGGATGATGCGGTGGGTAACCTTGAGGATGGAAATGGTGGTGTTGCTGGGACGGTGCCTCGGCTCCTGGAGGTGACTGAATGTTCGCACCGGGATCTGTTAATCCACCGGTTGCCCCGGCACTTCCGGGTGACAGCTTGATGCCCAGATTGACGATATGATGCGGGTGGGATGGCATACCCTCTAGAAAACTCATTATCGCGATTGGCGTAACGTTGGTTCTTCAGAAACAGCGCCAAAAAACTTTGTCCACGACGACGTGATTCAGGTATCAGCGAGGCGCTGATCAGACAAGGGGGATGTTTGATACATTTTTGACGTCGTTGGACTTGATTCCCTATCTCAAGTATTATTATAGATCGGGATATCTTTGAAACCTATAATTGAATAGCGCAGAATTGAGTACTTGACACAGAAAGCATACAGGCCACAGTACACTTCATTCTAGAATCACTGGTCTTACTAAGCTGCCTGTTCTAAGCTTTCGTGAAATCCATATTTCGTAATATTCATACTTCCATGTCAACACAAGTCCCATTCTGTCCCAACTAGCGAGAAATCCCACGTTTCACGTACAACATCATAAACCCCGCTTGAAGATATATTCGTCACGTGCAAATTGCAACACTTTTAGATGATTCTTGGAATGCCTAGCATTCGATCGATTATTTGTTTTCCATCACTTGCGCGCGACCGTGTTACAATCCTCGGTTTTCGTGAAGTAAACACAATATCTTTATCAGTGAACGTGGCGACGATAACAACAACGCGGCGATGACAGTACACGGCGTCCCGGGTGCGATAAGGGTAAAACACACGTTGCGCTCCTCGCTGCGTTCACAGCGGGACTGAAAGTAAAGGACTCCCACCGAGGCGACGTGCGTCCGATTTCGGAGTCCGGTAGGATTCCCCTTCTTTCTCTACGAGTCGCGCGCGTTTCTCGTTCCCTCCTCGTTTTGCCGCAGCTTGATCACGGGTACACTGTCCAACCTGGTGTTTCGCCGCCCCACTGTGGTTAAGACCGCCTTCTACCCCTTCCGAATCGTTCTCACGGCGCGAATGTAAACCGTGGTCCCTACCACTGGTGAACGTATCCTGGTGGTTACCAGCGTACCATTGGCGCCGACGGCATCACCAGTCATTGGAGGCTGCCGAACGGGGAGGTGCCCGTTAATTTACCACGGGCAGATAGGCGTCGCATCTACCAAGGCGCATGTCGAGACTCCGCATGCGGTTCACGCCCTGTTATTCGAAAACGGCGCGCAGCGACGTTTCGCGATTTTATGCACGTCGTATACGCGTGCGAAGAAGTACCCTCCAGTCTTTTGATACGTAAATGTCATTTGGAACGTATAACTATGCAGAGATTTTATGCGCCTGTTTTCGAACCCTTTTTCTTTTATTTAACTCTTAAAACGTTAGGTTTCACTTTTTATCGTGCGATAGTTGATGATAGATATGTGATAATCAAGAACAATCGAGGCCTGAGAACAGACGCCACTTATACGAACGAACGAAATCTCATTAAGATAAGACGACGGCCATACTTGCAATAATAATGATTCACGCGGTAAAAGCTATATTGAATAAACATTTTGGATATAGGTATTAAGTTTATTTTAAACGAAATTTATTAGAATTTAAAATAATTTTTTATTTATAATTTACACTTCTTCGTTATGCTGCTACACTGCAAATCCAAGTGTGTTAATTTTACATGCATAAACGTCTAAAAATGACACATTTGACTGAAGTTTTTCTTACATTTTTGGGCGTTTTAAGTTACGTCATTTAACACGTTTAACCGCATTAAATTAAAAGTTAGTACATTCAATCGTGTTAAATGACGTAAATTTAAATGGCAAGAAATGTGTAAAAGAGTTTTAGCTAAATACCTAACATTCTTGGATTTACAGTGTATATGTACGTACAGTTTTTCCAAATACGTTATTTGACTAATATTCATTTCACAAACATATATGCATGTATGTATATGAAGGGTACAGGGGGGAAAAACGATCTGTGTCCGTCTGGAGTAATTAAAAAAAAAAGAACATAATTTTAACAAACTAGTTATTTTAAGAAACAAAAGTAATTTTGAAACACATATGTATATATGCACAATGCACATATGTAGGGGTAATGAGAAAAAACAGAAACAAATTCATTTATATTTCTGCATTCATAAAGCTGCAGCTCCAGGCAAATCCATTCTCTATTTTTTTTACATTTGTTTTACATTTTGCTGTTAAAGAAGGTTCACATAAATAGAAACAGCACTCATTCATTCTCTTTTTATTCGCCATATTGGTGGCTCTAAATAAATGTGATTTTACTCTCGCGTGCGCGCACGTAATTATTAATCGTCGAACTGTTATCAGCGATGTCATCCATCATCACCTTCCTTTTTTTTATTCTCCTTTTCGCCTAACCGGTAATTATGATGAAAACTTGCTCTTGCAGTAATTATCGTACCGTCGAACATTTTTATGTTTCTCGGATATGGCGGATTTCAAATCTAACCGAATGCAAATGTTCGATATAAACGCGTAAGAAAACGAGTGAGAAAGACACGAGATACCTGACAGAAATTTAATTAGTATCTAATTAGATTCAATTTAGTATCTAATCACGAATTAGGAAAATTATGTATTAAATTGTCACTGTCCAGTCCTTTTCGTTGGTAATTAGCCAGCAATGTTAAGTAAAGACAAAATAAAATCTTAAAATCAAAGTATAATCTTTTTGTTTTAGGTGTTTGCATGAAACAGAATTAGTGAATAATTTCCGAAAAAAAAGAATGAGTAATCTTAAAAAACATTTTTTTATATTTATTATATTTTTTATATTTATTATATTTTAAATATACCTATATTATTAATCCTACTGATGAAAAAGTTTTACAATATTGATGTCCAATGTCCAACATAGTGAACATGATAATTAGATAGACATGAGAATTAGTGGGATAGAAAAATCTTTTAATGTAAAAACCAGCAATCAGAATTTATTAACTTATTTTTCAGAAATAGAGATACATTACTAATTTTTTATAAATTAAAAAAAAATATGAGAGAAAAGGCGTATGAAATAATTGAATATGTAGCACGATAAGGTAATTATTTTTTAATGTTTTAACATTTTTGTATGTACATTGAAAAAATGCGTAGTAACGGTAGAGAATGAATGCTTTTTGGCAAGTTTCTTCTTTAGTATTGAATGATTTTTCATTCTGTCAGGCATTCTGTCAGAAAACTACTTTATTTCCAATTCTTTTTTGTACACCAGGTAAACTTCGGTAGACTTTAACGGAAAAATTATATGAAACATGCCGATTCAGTATTTTAATTTTGCAAACGCATTAATCAATTCTCGCAAAATATTCAACATTGTTCGGTTGTAGAATACAAATGTGTGTAGAATACAAATTCTTTCGTTAGGTATAGAATATAAATTTCAAAAGTTTTCCCAGAACAGGTACGAATTTCGGAGACAATAACAAATAGTGGCATATAATAGATTACAACGTTGTTATTCCTGAAGAAATGGAGAATTGACTACGTGTACTCGGACTATACGTATGAAATATCTTATCTATAATTATTAAGTAAAATGAGATCATTGAGATATACAATCAAATTAAAATAAATTGCCGTTTACAATCCTAGCTTGGATCTTAGTAGCCTAGTACTATTTCTGTGTGTATAGTGTATTATATATATATACACATATTTTTCAACTTATTGTTAGTGAGCTATGTTTTAAGTCCAACAAAGAATCGGCGCACAGTTTACCAAGTTGAAAAATATGTGTATATGTATATACACACACAGAAATAGTATTAGGCTACTAAGATCCAAGCTCGGACCGTAAATGGCAGTTTATTCTAATTTAATTGTACATCTTATCTCTATGTTGATAGATTACTTGCAAATATGATGATTGATCGAGTCTTATCTGCTTACTAGTAAATAGTTGTAATTCGATAGATATGAAGATATCTGAAAGTAAACTTGAAAACTGATTGCATCATCTATAACAAGCTACATATATCTGTATTCGTGGAACTACATGTTTGTATCATGAGTTTGCACGCTATTCGCGTTCTTAATGGGAATAATTTAAATGTTATTCGGAAGTATACATAACAATTGATTTACTGAAAGAAAAATATACATATAAAATATTTCCCCGTTGGTTTTATATTTTCTTAAACTAATTTGGGAGCAGTATTCACTTGTATCTAATTAAACACATTGCTTTCATTGATATTAAAACATTTAAATTCTCTAATCTTTTCTTTAACTTATCTTATTTATATAAAACTGATGGGACATATTTAATCTTATCAATATGAAAATCAATCCAAGACGAAGTAAAAGCTGAGTTTTCATTTTTATTTAAATACCTCCTTTACACTTTGGTAAATATAAGAAAAGCGTCGAACGGATGATTAACGATATTTTACCTCGCATGGAGTAATAATTAATCAAATAAGGAAGTAGAACATATATATGCATATCCTTCAAAGCGCTATGGCAACTTCGGCAACACAACTGAGATGATTTATGCTCTCTCACAGAAAAGGAAAAATGATGAGCAGTTTCAACTTCAGACTAGAGTTCAATTTTGCTTTATATTGGCGTGTATATATGCGGATCTAATCTTTCACGAGTCTCCCACATTTCGGTATATACATGCGTGCTATTTATACGTGATCTTTGTCTAACATCATTCTGTTCTACGTCGTGCCGTTGAATATATTAACGTAGCTTAATCATCCGCATAAATAATGCAAATACATCGAGCATTTTAACGGGGTGCCTCATTGTCGCGGCAAAAAATGGTGTCCCATTATGCCCGTAATGGGCACGGTGGCTGACTATTTGATATTAATAACTACCATAAAGGTGGACTCGCGGCTCTTTCGTGTACTTAGGAGGCATGGACTGAATGATGCTTTCCATCCACCTTCTGTTGCTTACTAACAGCGCGAGACATCGAGCAAAGACAAATCTATGCGTATATAACGCGTGAGCGAGTTTATAAACTCACCGGGTGCTCCGAAGGTGCATCTTTTCTTGTGCAATACATATACGGTCTTACAAGAATTTTAAAAGCGCTTACAGCGGTCCCATTGTCTTGCTATTTTGTATATTAGCTTGCACAATTAGAATTTATTACACGCAATTAAATTTTTATACTATGTGTATATTTGTATCCTGTACGTTATTTATTTGCATTATTTTTTTGCAAATGTATTTTTAAATAAGAATAAAATTATAATAATTTTATTAAAATAATTTTTAATTTTATTAAATAATTTTATTATGTAAATAACTTTATTGAAAATAAAATAACATTATGGCGTGATCTACTACGGCTATCCAAGTTCCACAATATTTCTTTCGATTTTCAGTTCGCACAAACTGATCGCTTTATTACACCTCAACAAAACTAACGACGCATAATCCGGTGTGACACATACATATATATGGTTTCTCATGTGATCACAATGTTCCAAGCGTGGTCATGCATCTATGTCTGCATTCGGTTTAAGGCTCACAAGACAGATATTGTCTTAGCCGGTTCATCAGTCATAACCGGGGGCGGGGACGGAAGGGGATGAGGGGTGCAGTCATTATATTTAATTAATCATTAAGCTGAATGGCTCGATTTATTGCGTGGTCACGGCCAATGCAATGGTACGAAAGGGTTTGAGAAGGCGGATATTGCCCGCCTAGCTTTCTGACTGGTTTTTTCGTTTCCTTCGTTTTTCTCACCTGCATA